CGGCCCCGCAGCCGCCCCTGCTCCGCCGCCCCCTCGCTGCCCGGCCCCGAGTCGCCATCGGGGGAGCGACAGAGCCCCGGTTCGTACCTGACCCCGCGGGCCGTCCCGCGACAGCGACCCAGTAGCACACTGCGGCATCTTTCCCCCCGGACACCGGCACTGTGCAGCCGCTCGGCAGCCGCTCACTTATACCATGGCTTTTCCGCTGGCTCGTGCCGCTAAATAAACACGGCGTGTTTGTTTTGGACGGGCCCCCTGCCCGCACCAGAGGTTACCAGCGTGATGGGGCAGGGAGACAAAAAGGCCGTTGCTCTGTTGTCCTTTTTTCTTTTTTTTTTTTTGCCCCACTCTGTGTTCGTAATGGCGTCACCACCAGGGCCAGGGTGACGCTCCTGTGAGTACGCGGGTCTCTGGCAGTCAGTGCCACTTCTCTGAAGTCCACGCAGATTCATCAGTACAGCTCATTATTTGTCAATTGAGTAACGGCCCCTACACCACCAGCTCAGCGCGTGGCACTTGCCTTGCGCTAAACTCCCGGTGTTCTGGCAACTTTTGCTTGCACCACCTCATACCGCAACGAAGCCCGTACGCAATGTTGTGGGGCCTTCACAACAACCGAGCTGCAGAAACACACGCTATCATGAGGAGTTTCATAATTTACGTGTGTACTGTTCAACCCTTTTTAGAGGAGTTCAGCATCAACGTAGGAAATCTTACTTCACTGAGAGAGTCAGGTTCAGCTCGGAATGGTGGCTTCTCTGTTAAATTCACGTAAGAACAGAAACTCTTCTGCTTATGGCTGTCTCCACCAGAATATAAATAGAAGTTTGTTAGTGGATATGTATTAGATTATGATTTTCTATCGCCAATTTCTTCTAGACCCAACGAGCTCCCATTATATTTATTTGTGATGGAAGTATGTGACCATAATTGTTTCAATCAATACCAAAGTAATCCAACGCTTCTTATCGAGTATTTGTATGCAAGTACATCACATGCAGGAATCTGTGACAGCGCAGTGGTTGGTGTTCATCATGCCTGTCACATGTGAGGCTTCATGATTCCACATGTAAGAGTTAGCATTGATTAGCAAAATTAATTTCAATGAGTAATTAAGCCAGGGAAGCGGCAGAGCCTGCTCCTCCCTGGGAGGCGCGGACCCGGCTGCTGTGTGTAGCCTGGCTCACCAGCGCTGGCTGTACACATGAACATGGACACAGCTCCTGCTGCTCCGCGTCCTGGGATTGGCTCCAGCAGCCCAAATCCTCTTGCTGTTAACACAAGCATCTCCTCTTTGATGTGTGATCTGTCAGCTTCACGCACTAATACCCAGGTGCTACGTGGCCCAGCCTGACACCCCAAAGCAGGTCCTCTTAACTGCCCTGTACTAACTCTGCTCAGTGTCCCACCAACTCTGAGTCTGTCCAACATCATCACCTATAATCACAGCTCTGAAGCAGTAACATCCTCCAAGAAGCCCAGCTTTACATCAAAAACCCTTGTTCCAAGAGCAGATGTCCTGGGCTGTCACATCGCAGCAGAATACTGCAAAGGACATCCCAACTTCCCACTGCCAAGCTGCGAGGTCAGGCCTTTGCCGCCAAACAAAGTCCACTGATACACAGATCACTCACAGCCAAAAGAGATTAGAAGATAAATTCTCTTCAGAGAAAAACAATTTATTCAACAATAAATGAAAAATCCTCTTAGACTCAATTTAAAAGAAAGGCAGAGGGAGACTGCTGCTCTCATCCCGCAGCCGTCACTTCACACCCTCGAGCTTGACAGCCCAGCCAGACTGAGGAGGCAGAGGAGATGGCAGCATGTAGGGCAAAGTTATGAGCAGTCCTTCAGCCGGGGACTTCTGCCACTTCAGAGTCCCTGCAAAACCCAGCATCGTCACCTGCAGAGGAGGGCAGGGGAAATACTCAGTTGTAGCTCACGCAGGTGCTTCCCATTTGAACACCCCAGGACACCCAAAACACATTTGCCACCTCCATACGGCATCTCCCACACATTCAGAGCAGTTCTGCACATTTCCACCCATCACTCACAGTGCACAAAAGGTAACGCATGGACTATTTCGGGGCCAAACATTTGACTGTAGCTTGTTTGTTTTGGTTTTTTTTTTTTTTTTTTTACTGATTAGGCTTTACCTCTGTTTGTTTAGAGCAAAGGGCACTCTAGCATTTGCGTCACTTACAATTACATTTACAACTAGCAGGTCAGCATACCTGATTTGAATTTGAGATGCAATGCCAGTGATCCCTTCTATGTGTGAGGCTCATTATGTACCCCACATCCCTGTGTCAATAGGATTGCAAGAGTCTGGGGAGAAGTGTCTCTGCCTATTCTATGGCAGACTACGAGCCTGTCCCAGCAAGTCCTATCCAATGTTCTGTGTTAACAGTGAGCTAAAGCCTGGAGAATCACCTGGGATGCTGCAAGGATCCACAGGGAGGCCAGAGCACCCCAGAACAAGGAGTAGGGGATGACAAATTCCACATTCTCCCCAGTTTCCAAATGAAGTCGGGTTAGACCTTCCCAGCCCACATGTGCCCAAGTTCCTTACTTGTGTGGCTGGGGATGGAAGGGGCGAGGACAGCTCCAAAACGTTGTCTCGAGGCCAGATCAGAAAGATGGCATAGACAACTGGTCCCTTAGAAGTGTACCTAAGAGAGCAAGAGTTCAGCAAGGTGAAAAGCCTCATAAGAGAGAGAACCAGACACCAGCTTGACCTTTCCAGACAGCACGAGAACACCAGCTTGCCTGCTGTCACCACACAGGGGTCACCTACTTTCCCCTCATTCCAAAATCTGTCACTTTGGACCCACCACTTAGCCAGGCAGCACTGGCTGATGAAACCCAAACAAAGTCCGTGCGTGCTTCCTAAAAGCAAATGTCATCTGCCGACCTGTCCTTGCCTCAGCTTGCAGTCAACAGAGTGGACACGCTGCCTTATCCTGATCATTGCTCTGCATTTCTAGGCTGAACACACTTGGGCACACTCAAGGAAAGAAAGTAACGCCATTTTGTAGCAATTTCTGGCTCTTGACTCACTATGCCCTTCTCAGTCAGTATAAATCTAACAGTTGGGTAAGCGTTTAGTACTATTATATGACAGCTTAAAAGCAAACATCACTACATTTACAATCTGTATGCATTCAGATGAACTACGTTTGTGCAACTCAAACTCACCAGGACCACTACTTAAACAGTCCTGACAGCAGCAGCATGGACTTTTTTTTAAAGGAAGAGTTCTTTTGTTCCAAATCAAGCAAGACAGATGAAATCCTGATTTTTTTTCTCTTCTTTTAAGCAAGATATTCCCTAGATAACACCCTGGGGCAGTAACTGAGCACTCCAATAGTAGGATGTTACCTAAACGCCACCTGCGTTGCCTGACGGTGACACTTCAGTGGATACCAAATTTAAGAACAAATAAGACAGAAACGTCAGCTCTGGAATAAGCAACGGAGTCCTTACCAGACCGTGTCTGTGCTGTTCTCCATCTGTACTCTCCATGGCTTCGATTCATAAATTGCCTCCCCATTAGTGTCCAGCCACCTCCCAAGGGCCAGAAGTCTTTCTTGGAAGATGGGAACGATCACCCCTTCTTTTGTAGGTCCCACATTGAGAAGGTAGTTGCCTCCAAAACTCACAGTCTGCACTAGCTCCTGTAACAGACAAACCAAGGTAACAAACTGCATTATCTTTGCTTCTGACAATAAAAAAAACTGAGGAGGGCTTTGCTCTCATCAGCTGCTCCTTTAACACCAGCCTGACTGTATGAAACAGATGACAACTCTTTCTGCAAGTAGGATGATGAAGGAAATGTCTCATTCTCAGTAACTCCTGCATGCCTGTTATTTTGATTTTGGATTTCTTACCTCAATGATACTTGCTTCATCCATTAACTCAGCAATGTTCATGTTGCTTCGATAGCCCCATGAAAGTTTGTCAATGGAGGAGCACATCTCCCACTTGTGAGTTGGCAGGGTCCCTGGCTTGTATTTGTCAGCGCAATTGTAGTAGCCTCCATGATGGCAAGAGCAGTTACTGCACCAACGATCATTAACAACAACAGTGTCCTGAAAGAAGAGACAAAGCTCAGTACGGAGAATGTTTTTGCTTTTCAGCTTGCATTCATCCCTCCTAAGTTAGCAAAGGCATCTAAGTTCAGAGGTAAGCACCTAAGTTAGGAGGTGAGCACCTAAAACCCCCTGTGTAATCAATGGAAAGAGAGAGAGGATCCTGCAGAGAAAGCTGAATCCCTCTCTGGGACAACCTCTATTTGCTCAGGTACAAGTTGAAGCAAGAAAGTTCCTGGCTCTGAGCCTCCCACGTGTGTGCTGTAAAGGACACCAGAGTCTTCTCATAGGAGCACAGTGTGAGCTGCTTATTTTTTGTGAAAGAATAAAGCACATCTGGCATCTGTCAAGCGGGTTTCTTATTCGATCACATTCATATCTCACTGCTGCCAGACCTTCCATACCCATAACATGCTAGCAGCCATGAGGGATAGCTGAAAGTGATACCTTGACAGGACTATCGTTATAAAGCCAGGCAAGGAAAGAGGTAGAATTCCAGTACGACTCCGGAGCTTCCCAGTCTCCATCCGACCAAATCAGATCTGGTTTATATCTAACAGAGAGATGAATGTTATTTCAAAATGGCTTATTTTCTCCTACCACAAAGGAAGCACTGCGTTTCTTGCGTCTGGAGTCTAGCTTCCTCTTCCTATTGCCTGACATTTCCGGGAGGTTTATGCTTTCACTTTCTGCTTCAAAGCTTTAAGTGAAGTTCTTGCAGCAGCAAAGAATGATGTGTTGATGACCACGGCTCAAGAGAGGATGCAATTCTTGCAAAAAACAGGAGTTTGCATCTGAAAGGCAATTATCAGGCACATTCTTGGCCTGGGACAACAGCCATGCTGAGCAACATGTGTCCAAGCCTCATATTTCTGTCAACAAGGGGAAGCAAGGCAAGGGTGTAAATTCACACTGAAATCGCTCTTCTACTCTACTAAGTACTAAGCAGCTTGCTCCACTTTCAAAGCCACCCTGCACAAAAGGGGATTGCTCTTGCATGAAAAATTTGTCCCTATCTTATTCTACAAATTAGACTGTCCACAGGGCAAATGTGAACCCCTTTTCTAATTACCGCAAATCATTACCGGTAAGTAAACAGATTTGCCTTGGCAAAAATATTGGTCACCTCTCTCCTCTGCATCCACTATGCATCTTTCTGCACAGCATTGAAACCTGGAAAGGCTCTTGATTCCTAACCGGTTGCAGCTCTTACTTTACGACGAGATCATAAAGTTCCGGCATGGTCTTCTTTAAAACGAAGTTCTGGGTCTTGAAGCCACTTTCTTTGTCAGCTAGATAGAGTGGATTAAACCATTCTAACAGAGAGTGATACAGTCCATAGCGTATGTTACTGAAGGACAGAAAACACAGAGGAAAGAGTTAGGCTGGCAGTAGGGATTATAAACCCGTGGCAGATTAGATTACTGGCATCATTATTTCACAGATTTCATGACTTTGCAAGCAGCACTTTTTTCATATTAAACTCATTGTTTTCAGCTGTTTGTCAAGAACAGCCAGGAGAATTCAATGCACACAGATGAAAGGAACAGCACAGTTTGGCAGTGTCATACCTCTCCCTGAGGGCTTGTCCCAGCTCTCCCACAAGATCTCGGTGGGGCCCCATATCCAGGGAATTCCAGTTCCAGGACACAGGCGACCCCCAGTTGGTGAAGCCTTCATGATGCTTCGTGGTCAGTACCACGTACCTGAGGGGAAAAAAAGTACTCGATCAGGATGACAAAGGAACTACCTAAGATACTCCCCAGCCTCACTGGCAAACCCAGTCACTAAAACCATAAGGGACTGAATAACCACGCCGTGAGGAGCCCTTTTTCATTACCCTTTACATTTAGAAGCAACTACAAGAATAATAGAGGGGATTAATGGATTTTAATGCTGGAAAGGAATGAACAATCAAGAGTAAGTAGCAAGACCCATCATCTCCTCAGCACCCTGGGCATGACCCCTCGGGGATCTCCAGCACTGCTCAGGGACCCCTGATCCCTCAGGGATCCCCAGATTTGGCCCTTCCAACCCCTCAGGGACCCCTGTATCCCCCTGGGGACCCCAGGCACAGCCTCCCCCATCCTTTCGATCCCCTCAGGGACCCCAGACATGGCTCCCCCAGCTGCTCAGCAATGAGGCACCCCCATCCCCTCACAGATCCACAGAAATGGCTCCCCCATCCCCTCAGGGACCCCAGACATGGCACTCATCCCCTCAGGGCCCTGCTCAGCGACCAGGGACCCCCATCCCCTCACAGATCCACAGAAGTGGCTCCCCCATCCCCTCAGGGGCCCCCAGGCACGGCACTCATCCCCTCAGGGCCCCGCTGTCCCCTCTGGGACCCCCAGACCCACCCCCCATCCCCTCAGGGACCCCAGCCACCCCGGATGGCACCCAACACTGACCTGGCACCAGCCCGCTGGAAGAGCTGGGCCCACTCGCGGGGCTGGAAGTCGTGGGCAGTAAAGCGGGGCGCGAAG